ATGGAAAAGCAAGATGAGTCTGATCACGAAGAAGAAATGGATCACGATCGCATGGATTCGAAGATCAGATTTTGAGCTTAGAAAGTTATGATAGATTTGTTAGGAATATTTGATTACATAGTTTTTCAGTTGATTTTGCATTGTAAGGACATGTTTTCCGCTGCTTTTATGAATAAAATAAATTTTGGTTTGAATAATTTTATATATCCTTGCAATGAAATCATTATGAAAAATTGATGTTTGTGTATTACTACAATGAATGGATTTGATTCTTAATTATGTTATTTGTGGAAATGTCGAGAATTTGCCAAATAAGGGAAGATTCTCATCGCCCAAGTTTCAATTGGACAGAAACTTGGAATCATACAACTAGATTGCGTGATGAATGAGAAACTTCATATTTGGAAATTAGACTAATTCTTTGGCAAAGTGTCAAGAGAAGGACTAGGAGATCGAGTACACTAGGTTGTGCGTTGATCAAGTCCACCACAAGAGTGATAAAGATATTCATCATGATTTACTAAAGTTTAGTAAATATGGTTATACTTATAAGATTAAGTATAATTCTGAGTTGATCGAAAGAGTTTCAATCAATAGCAGAACGAATAAGAAGAATCAAGTAGGCAGAAAGATAAAAGTTTCTCTATTCTAAGAAGAAGGGAGAGTACCTTTTATTGTGTTTTATGATAGGTCTTAATGATTAAGAACTATTTCTCAATTGGTCCTCTATGTGAGTCTTAGTGCATTTGCATGTCTAAGAAGAGGAATCGAGAATTATGGAAATAGTTAAATCAATAAGTCAATCATACTTCGTTCCAATATCAAGTCTTAAGAGTCATACTCCAAGATTGTGACTTGAGTGACACGTCTTTAGTAGGTTTATAACACTCAACAAATGTGGAATTGGAAAAAGTCTTCTTATTCCTGCACATTTGAGATTGGTAAGTTGTGATGTCTTGGATAAGACAAAGATCAACTAGAACCAATTATGTGAAGTGATAGTCTTGATAAAAACTATAATAAATCTTGAATATTTGTTTTGTCAAGGAATGTTTCTTGACAAGAGAATCTTATATGTCAAGGAGTCAGTGGGAGTCTTAATGGTCTTGAAAGGTTTCAAGAACAAATCAAAAGTTAAACCTAGTTGATCATCACTAGCACACGACTTGAGGTTTAAAGCCTAGCGTGGATGACATACTCCTTTTCTGTGCCATTCCAATTGAGTTAATTATGCATGTGAATGCATAAAGACAAAGCACCTTGATCAATGGAAAGTACATTGATAAGTAAGGATGAGTTGCTAAACCACTTGGAAGACATGGTGGGCACTCGTGTTACCATGAGGCAAGAAATCGAGATTGAGCACGTTCGGTCCATATGAGTTTGGATTTGTCGCAAACTTTGTTTTTGGAAAATTCACATGGATAGGAACACATACACCATAAAATCTAAGTGGCATAAGGTTTCCCTCCTTCATGAAAATGATTGTGAGGAAATGCTTTCACTAAGAGAGATTTTAAGAAGACAACAATTGTGAAAATTGTATTCTCAAATTTGATTATGATTATGGCATCCCTCTTCATAGTTCGAATTGTGAGATTTGGCAATTAGTCTGAACATTTGGGACTTAGTAACATAAGTTCTGAATTTGTCTAGACACACATATGAGCTTTCTAAGGCAAAAGTGTATGAGTTTAAGAAGCTTAGATAAAGGCTTATCAAAGCATTAGGTATTAGAAATATGAACTTAAGGAATTCAATAAGCATTGTTTTCTGGAAGTTAAAATTGTTTTCTGAATACATGTCAAAGCTAGTGGGAGCATAAGTGTTATGCTGGTAAGAAAATAATCATCATGTTAGTGGGAGCATGATTATTATGGTAAGTATTGCAAGTTAGCAATATTAATTATAGAAAACAAAGATTCACTTTGCAAAGTTGCAATGGTTGAGGAAGTTGTTTTGCTATAATTAAAGGAAAGAATATTATACTTCGTTTCAAAATTCTAAAGCTTAGATTGAGAAACGTTAATAAATTTAGTCAAGGATACATAGTGTATTCTCAAAATTCAATTATGATTACGGCATCCCTCTTCATAGTTCGAATTGTGGGAACAGGGCACATAAAATATTATGGCAGAAGGATGATAAAGTATCACGTCTTTATGTGAGACATTATGCATCGTGTCCAATACGCTTCGGGTATAGGGTCGATTGCATATGCTGTAATATTTGACCATTCTAAGATTTTCCAAATGCCTAGGGCATTAAGAGGGAAAAAGGGACTAGAATCGGTTTTGACTAAAATAATTAAACAACTATCAAAGGACGATCTGAGGTTCACTAAGGATTTGTCGCTTGTGAGTAATTGTAAGTATAGTACTGAATGGACTATATTGACATTATTATGAATAGATAAGATTCTATTAAGAATGAGTTGTCATATGGCAAATATGGAAATGTTTCCATTAATGGGAGTTGGATATTAAGAAATATGTCTAGATTAGAAACTTTTATGCGAGAAGGATGTTAAAAGGAATGTACTTTGAATGTGAGACTTCACGTCTATGGAATTGTCTTGTAACAATTTCCGATAGAATACCTTGTAATTTCATTAGTCGAGTCTTGGTAACTTTTGTTCTATGACATTACGAAAGAATCATTGCATAAAATGTTAGAATCTGGCATATTCTAAAAGTGGTAAGAATTTGGTATTCTTATACTAATAATAAGGATTGGGGATTGTGAAATGAAAAGTTTTTCAATTGATCTATTTCACAAAGTATGGACCATAGGAAACCAAAGTGTGCATGCTTGGAGCATGGGACAATTGTGGTTATAATTCGAGTAATACGTTGATTTTCTAAAACAGTAAGCAATGAATAATGAGTAATCAATATGGTGTTTAAATAAAAGTGTTTTTATTTACGCTCAAAATCTTTGGGGCCATATAGGATTAATATTATTATTGCGTTTCACTTTGCATGTTTTGACTTCCTGAATAATAAGATTATTCAAACTCCACAGTCGCTCGTACTTTTGGAAGTAAGTAGTGAATCAAGACTGTCGTGAATTGGATTGCAGACTGTCTAAGGATAGACATGACAATAGAACTGCTGCAATGTTCATGAGTACTCAGAAATTGAGATTTGAGTATTGGATAAACCCTCGCTCAGAGTATCACTTCATGGAATTCATCACAAGTAATACTGAGACGATAATATCTTATAATCTTGAAACGAAAATATATGAGTTGTAATTTACAAAGTCGTTTATACATTGGTGATACGAAAACGCATCAGTAACTTGGTGTTATAAAACGTATTGTCATGTATAATTTGATGAGTAAAAGATACAAGCATATGAGTCAACGTTTATTCGTTCCTTTTGCCCTAACTGGAAAAGCGATATCTGTGGGCCCCTCGATGATTTGGTGTTGACTTATGTGCTGGGCCCAGCCAGGACTAAATCGATGTGTTCAATTAGAAGTCCTACATCATCACAAATCAGAAATCGGGAAACATAGATTTTGGACAAAGAGATTGATTACGTTCCATGTCTTATGTCTGGGGATATCTTGCAGAACGAAGGATTATATGATCACTTATCTAAGGACACGTAACTGACTGGGTCAGAGTTCAGCAGCAGCTTTTGGAAGCTACAATTTGTTGGTCAAATTTAGAAGTCATACTAGCAATTATAGTTACAGACTTATCCAAGTGGGAGACTGTTGGATTAGGTGTCTAAGCCCATAACTATAATTGGTATGTACTTGAATTGATAGCAGCACAGTCCTTTTGGGTTGCCCTCAAACCTAGCAACTGGACAAGGAAATTATGAAAGGAGAGATATTAATTTATAAGATTAATAATTTAATATAAATGATTTATTAATATGTTAAAAGATTAATATATTAATTAGAAATCATTATGTTTAATTAATAGTTAGCCATAAATTAATCAGAATTAATTTTGGGGTTAAAAGTATTAATTATAAAGTGCATGGACTAGTTTGTAATTATCAGATAGTTGAGTGGAAGGCTCCAGAACCTCCTTGGAAGGAGGTGGGTGAAATCTATAGGGGAAACCCTAAGGATTTCGTCCAAGGGGCTTTGGATAAGGCCTTTGGATTAGCTTAGGCCCCCAAGCAAAGGAGTATTAGGGTTTTCCCTAAACCCTAGATCCCTCAGCTATATAAGGAGCCTCCCAGCTCCTGAATTCGCCCCACTCCTTCATTGGTGAAACCCTAGGGCCGAAAATTGCATACTCCCTCTCTCTCTCTCTCTCCTTCTAATTTCCTTCTTGCTAGCTCTTGGGTGTGATTCCATTAGAGGCATTACATTTGTGGTGCTAAGCTTCCAAGAAGATCAAGATCAAGATCAAGAGGATTGTCAATTGTTTGCTATAACAATTGAAAGGTATGTAACTCTTAAACTCTAGTTTGTTAATTTCGAAATTAGCCTCTCTCCTCTAGGGTTCTTGTTTTGCAATTCAAAGTTATATGTTCAATAGTTAAAACATAGATCCAAAGTAGGTTGCATGTGAACTTAGGAATTGTTTTCTAGTTTATTTGTTTCACCTAAAACCCATCACATACTCACATCCACGAAGTGTTTAAGGTCTATACTCAATTGTAGTGCAATATAAGGGCCCTAGAGGTGGGTTTATGGTTCTAGAATGAGTGTATGGTCGCACACAAGAGTGTGTGGTCGCACACTTGGGTGTGCTGCCGCACACTTGGAGTGTGCTGCCGTACAAGGGTGTGTGTGGCCGTACACAGGTGTGTGCGGTCGTACACCCCTCAAAAGGATTGCCCAAATTGTCCATTCCAAGGTGTAACAAGGCTAGGGGCACATCTACATCGAATATGGAAGTTAAACTCTCACTTTGGAGGGTGTTTCAAGGGTGTGCGGCCATCCTAAGAGGGTGTGCGGCCGCACTCACTTCCACAGACGAAGAACATGCCGTTTTTGCACACATAGGGCTTGGATAGGGTGGTCTTTCATGGATTGTAAGCTAGAGGAAGAAGTACTCACGTTCTTGAAGCTTTGGAAGGTTCAAAGTTGGAGAAACTTGAGAGGAAATGATGTTGTGTGCTGCCAAGGTGCTAAAGGAATGAAAGGAAGGAGGCTACCCTTTATATATAGGAGTAAGGGTGCTGCCCAAAAGTGAGTGTGTTGCCAAGGGAGTGGGTGTGCAGCCGCACACCCATGTGTACGGCCGTACACTCCTCCAAGAGGCATGTATGGCCCGGTTTCCTCACTATATGGCATGATGACTCATTCCTAATCTCAACCTTGGTCAGGTTTAAGCTTAGAGCACTTAAATGAACCCTCAATTAGTGCCAGAAATCGACAAAACAAGTTGAATAATGATTGAATTGATTAATTGTACATGATTGAAGTTTACGGGTTGTCACATCTTTACCAAAAAAAAATTGTGTTCATATTTGTCAAAAATGTCGTTTATAAACTGGAATTGGTCGTTCCGAAACGGATTACAGATTATTTTTCGGGTGGCCCGACTCATTTCATTAGGTCCAGAATGCCTATTCCAGAGGACTCGTATATGTTCCAGATGGGGATTTTGAATTTCAAAATCTGGAATATAATCTGAGGCTGCAACTTCATTCCAGAAAGGCGCATTTTGATTTCGATGTTCGGGCTCGATTTCGACATTCCGACTAGATTAAGACGTTCCGAATCGACACCCATCTCCGACATGGAAGACGAGCACTAAGAACCCGTTATTTCACGGGTATGTTCTTCCTTTTCTACTGTTACTTACTGTTCTGGATGTAGTAGATCACCTCCGGAATGAACTGAAAACGTTCCAAAATTTAAATAAAGATGACATTGTTGTAGGAACAACTGAAAAGTAGTTTAGATGTGTAGTTATTGTTGATTTACATCAAAATGTTGTATTCTAGATTTTAAAATGTCATTCCGAAAGGCTCCGGAACGCGAAGAACCATTATGGAACACGATGAACGCATCCAGAACATCAAGAACTGGTCCGAAACTGGTTCAGAGTATTGGTCATTTCCATTTTAGAATGAAGTGCTAACACCTTTTTTATTTGTGCAACATGACATGATTGTTGATGCATCAATTACACTCTCGTGTAAACCCAAAATTGGCGGGGAAATCCTTGCGACATTCAGAAATAGACCGAATGCGAGACTATGTTCCGGAATACATGTTTCGGGAAGTGGTTAGACATTCCTAATGTAGATAGGGATCCTTTGCTTCTACATTATGTCTTTTCCCATGAAGTTGTCACCGACCCCCGAAGCCAGGTAGAGGAAATGGTTTTTGAGATTAGCGGTTACGAGCTGTCTTTCGAGAAGAAAGAATTTTGTCTCATCACCGACTTCCGGTTTGGTGACTATTTTCTAGCTTCTGCATCCGACACCGCATTTCGTTTCCGTGCCTTTCCTATGGTCCCGACGAATGTCTCGGTCAAATTATACCATGTTACAAATGTGTTTAAATAATCACTTAATGAGTTATCGGACTAGGATGCAGTCTGTGTGTGTCTTCTATACCTGTTAGAGAAGGGTTTCAATGGACGGTTGGCCAAACAACCTGTTACAGAAGAGTATTTCGCTTTGTTATCCAACCTTGATGAATTCAACATGTATAAATGTCGTCTAGTTTATAATTATTGATTATAATTACTTATCGTTACTAATATTTTTTAGAAGTTTAATTGTTAACTAATTTTTTATTTTATGTGGCACATATCCATGGAGGAGGATAATTTGGGATCAATTGCACAAACAACTTTTTACTGTATTCAATAAGGTTAAGAAGCTTATACATCTAGACAAACCGAAAGAGAACGAACCTCAAAAATTGAACTACACCCTACATGAGTTTTTATACGCTTTTAAGGTAACTATATAATGAAAAATTTATTATTTATTTTTGTTTGCTAACATTCTAACTATTTTTTATTTATTTGTTTGCTAACATTCAGATATGGATTCTTGAGATGTAACATCCCGATGTTAAGGTATTTTTCAATTGTAACCCTATGTATGATTAAATATTGCATTTTACTCCCTAAGTATGAGAAAGAATGCAAAATGGCCCATATTGGCATTTTGGTGATTTTGGGCAATGAGATAGTACGATGGGCGTACGTTGTGTAGTACGCTAGGCGTACACCTCGTACGCAGGGTATACATGGAGAAACTCCAAACCCTAATTTTTAGGGTTTGGTCCATATATAAACACCATTATAGCCTCATTTATCATTCTTTCATCAGGCCCCATCTGAGAACTCGACCCTCTAGCAAACCGTAAGTGAGAAGATTGCTTTGAGCTCATTTTGTGTGCCTTTTTGGTGTTCTTGAAGAATGAGAAGTTGGTGCAAGGACCTTGAAGCTTGGAAGCAACTTAGATCTAGAAAACTGATAATGAAGGTGGTTGATGGTTGGAATGGAGTGACAATGGTGGTGTTTGGTTGTGGAGAGAGAGAGAGAGAGAGGTTTTTTGTAATAAAAGAATTGAAAAAAGAAAATACAAATGGTAAAATCGGCATTTTAAAAAAATTAAAATAAATGAACCAAACTTACAACAAAATGAAAACTTTGGACTTCTAGTGCTAGTCCAAACTTTTTTGGATTAAAGTGTCAATTTTCGACATACAACATATACCTTTTGTGTGTGTGTGTGTATATATATATATATATATATATATATATATATATATATATATATATATATATATATATATATATATATATATATAAGTTAATGGCAAATAATCGCTTTGTAAAATAGGTAATTTGTCGATAAATGTAAAAAGGTCATTTTGTGAATAACCCGAAAAATATTTCATCCCTATTCCAATGTACAAAAATCGTTTAAACCTTTCTAGTCCAACGGTATCGGGTGTTGCCCTCCTTTTTAAAGGTTGAGGGTTCAAGTCTGATTTGAGACGTAGGTGAAATTATGAATAGTTTAAGAGTTAATAGATTTGCCGTTCTAAAAAAACAAAAAAAAAATACAAAAATCGTCTAAATTTCCCAAAAGCATCAGGAAATAACCCTGATTTCATTTATTTCTTTATCCATTTTTTTTATCTGGGGAATTTGCAAGCGAGCACGTTCATCTTTCAGGTAATTCCCTCGGATTCTTCTTAACCTTTTGCAAGGATTTGATGGCTTCATTAGATTCAGTTTCGTGATTTATGTGAAGTGAACAATAAATTTACGCTAACAAATGATAGAATTGTCAATGTGTATCCAATTCCGATGAACGTATAACAGTTAACGACAATTCATGTATTTAATTGAGGGAATTTGAATTGCTTTCGCAATGCAACTATCTAATTATCGCGTTTTCTGTTGAGAACTTTGTTTATGAGGTTGGCTGTTAATCAACATTAATTTGGCCTTTAATGGAATCTTCAGCGTTTTATTCTTTTGTTTTGCAACAGTTCACTGTTTCTATTCTGATTGCAACTCTTGGGGATGACAATTGGATGCATTAAGGTGATCCTTAATCCTTATATTCTTCTAAGCGAATGTGTTTAATTATCGATTCTCCAGAAATGTAATTTATCAAACACCTTGTAGCAAAGTTTGGTTCAATGGGTTGGGGAAGCATCTACATTAGACGCATGAAAGTTTTCTCATTGGCACTTCTAATCTACTTAGACTATAAGGTACACTAACTATATCACTTCTTCTTCACATAGATGTATATTAATTAATGGTAACCTTTTTCACTGGAATTATATATGTATTGAAGGCATTAAAGCACAGGGAGAAATGGATAAACAGCTCTGAAAGAGCAGGTTTATGGGAGAAAGCTCATGAGCGAAATGCTAAACGTATTGTTAACTTGATTATAGAGCTGGAAGGTTTGTGGGTAAAAATGGGGCAATATTTCTCCGTGCGTGCGGACGGGCTTCCTGGTGCGTACCCACGCCATCTGAAGCAGTTACAGGACTCACTTCCTCCTCGCTGCTTAAAAGAGGTATGCCCAAACTATATTTACCTAACACACATTAAATATTTGTCTCTTTACATGTTAAATACCTCAGTCTTTATGTGTGTGATTTATTCTTGTTTATTCCTGACAGTTGTTTCATAATCAAAATAATTACATTATGTAAAAACCTCTTTACCCAGGTTCAGAAAACCATACAGAAGGAGATGGGGAAATCAATAAATGATATATTTACAACTTTTGTTGAGAAACCCCTTGCAACAGCATCAGTAAGATCCTTCAAAAAAAAATTCATTACCTTTATTACGCTTCTCCTGATTACATTATCAACCTAATGATAACCTGATGTTTCATAAACAATTAATTTATATACAGATAGCACAAGTTCATCGCGCAACACTACGTGATGGGAAAGAGGTGGTTGTTAAAGTTCAACATGAAGGCATCAAGACAATAATCTTGGAGGTTGGTTATTCATTTTCTAGGCATGGGCATTTTAGTCTTTTACATAAAAAAGTACCAAACTTTCTATCACCTATAATTTTTTTTAACAGGATTTGAAAAATGCAAAGTCAGTAGTAGAGTGGATAGTTTGGGCAGAACCAAAGTTTAATTTCAACCCTGTTATAGATGAATGGTGTAAAGAAGCACCCAAGGAACTAGACTTCAACAGGGAAGCTGGTGTGATAATTTATAATCAAATATCTACTCATGTTCATAACTTCATACGTGTTTATGTTTTCTTGATGATTGATTTGTTATGTTTGTAGAAAATACTAGAAAAGTTTCGAGTAATCTTTGCTGTAAAAAAGACTGTTTGGACAAAAAACCTGAGCACCCGTGTTAAAGTGCTGATGCCTGAAGTTATTCATGTATACTCTTTATTGATATTTCTTGCATTTAGCTCGTTCTTTTATACCTTTCCCTCATGAAGTTTTTTCGGTTGTTGTTCTTATATAACTTTCGGTGTACTTACTCAGTCAACTGAGCGAGTCCTCATTCTAGAGTACATGGACGGCGTACGCCTGAACGATTCCCCTTCATTAGATAAACTTGGTGTTGACAAGAAAAATATTGTTGAAGAAATTACACGCTCGTATGCACATCAAATCTTTATTGATGGATTCTTCAATGCTGATCCGCATCCTGGTAATTTTTCCATATTTGATATTTTATTAAACATTTTGTTTTTTTTTTTGCATACAGTTTGCAATTTTGGTGGCTTTTTTTTACAGGTAATTTCCTTGTAACCAAGTCAAGTCCACATCATCCAATTCTACTTGATTTTGGATTTACAAAATTGCTTTCTAGCTCCATGAAACATGCTGTAGCAAAAATGTTTTCTAGCATCTGCTGAGGTTTGTACATTCCTTTCTTAAATAGGGAGTTGTGATCTTAATGGTTAAAGCACTTAATTTGGACAATTATATATGCTTCTTTCTTTTTGACTTAATCTGGACAAAATAACTTGATAGGTTAAACTAAAAAAATGTGGGTTTAACGTTTAATGTATTTACACACCACCCCTTTACTTATTTTCCCTTCTTTTTCTTCCCACTTTAAAATTGATGATATTGTAAAAATCGATGAGTATTGTGAAAACTATTTGTTAGAATTAGAATGTAAGGCTAAAACGGTCATTTAGTCTCCTTCTGACAGTTTATTCATTCTAAAAAATAAACAGATCTTACATCCTTATACATTCAACCACTTTACCCGTATAAAGTCTGGGTATTAAGTATTAATAAATACTTGTCTATGTCGGGTTCACTTTCATCTTTGATTATAAATGATTCACATGGTAATTTTAAGACTTTAGCTATTTTCCATGTCTGTTTATTTTATCATTTTTGGAGAAACTAATGAAGCTATCTCCAGCTTGATACTTTTACAGGTGAAATTATATTGTTCTTGCGGGTGCTTAATTTGCTTGCAGGTGGCTATCAAATCCTTCAATCCTTTAACTTATTAATTTATTATGATACCAATAATTAAAAACTGAATTATTTTTTATGGCTTTACTTTTCAGGGCTTTCTGCAGCATTGAATGTGAGTGTTAGCTACTACAGAATCATTAGACCCTTTGCTGAATCTGCTCTTGACTGGTTTGTTTTTTAATTTTTTTAAAAATAATTAATAAATTCAGTTTCTGTTATCTCATTCTCTTATTGGGCAACTTGTTTTCAGTGACCCAAATGAGAAAAAAGTAGATAAAGCAGAATGGGTATGTGACACCCCTGTTAATTCTCAAGTAGAAAAGAAACTCAGGGCTTTATTAGTTAAACTCGGGAACACGGATAAAATACTTGGAATTCAGGTATATATATGTTTGTCTCTTTGTTATATATGTATATGTATATGTATGTACGCATGCATTGAATATTAATATTAATATTTGACTGATACTCTGATTGTTAGTTATTTTCTGTTAGGTTTGTGCCTACAAAGATGGAGAAGTGATAATTGATACAGCTGCAGGGGTACTTGGAAATTATGATCCTTCTCCTGTTCAACCTGATACCTTATTTCCTGTTTTCTCAGTAACAAAGGGGGTTACAGCTGGAATGTTACACTGGCTTGTAGATAAAGGGTATATTGTGTTATTTCTTAATTAAGTTGACTATGGATTTCTCTTTCCTTTTTTGGTACTTCTATTTCTATTACATGGATGCAGGCAAGTGGGACTTGAGGATAATGTTGTAGACATCTGGCCAGATTTCAGTTCAAACAGAAAAGAATCAATAAAAGTAGTTTGTGATTCTTAGTAACCATAACAGCTATAATCACTTACGTGTAGAGACTAACAAATTATTTTTTGTATTCATTTTTCAGGTTCATCATGTACTGAATCATACATCTGGAATGCAAAATGCTCTGGCCAGCCTTGTGCAAGATAATCCAATGGTGTTATGCAATTGGGATGAATGCTTGAAACGCATTGCCATGGCAGAAGCAGAATCAGAACCTGGTCAAGATCAGCAATATCATTACCTATCTTATGGTTGGCTTTGTGGTGGCATCATTGAGGTTGTATCACATATATTCCTTCGATTCACCTTTCTTCTTCTTCTTCAATGATTCAATTCTCTCCCTGGAATCTACAGCATGCATCAAATAAAAAGTTTCAAGATATCCTTCAAGAAGCTTTCATTAATCCGCTCAACATTCAAGGCGAACTTTACATAGGAATCCCTCCAGGCATGAATTCAATCCATTTCCCCACTTTTCTGTAAACACTCGTTTATATCGTTTCTTATAATGATGGAAATTAATCAGGTGTGGAATCACGACTTGCGACACTAACCCTAGATACAAACGATCTGAATAGATTTGCAGAAATCGATAGCCCTACCTCGATCTCAAGCCCGACCTCTCTCTCTAGTTCCAGTTCTTCCTCCATATTCCAGCTCGATGTTCTCTCCGGTTTAGTTCCGTTATTCAATACGCTCAATGTCCGCCGTGCGATATTACCTGCCGCCAACGGCCATTGCTCAGCTCGTGCACTCGCCCGCTACTACGCCGCCCTTGTCGACGGCGGTGTTGTCCCACCGCCGCATTCCTCCTCATCGCAACCACCATTAGGAATCCACCCTCAGCTTCCCGGATCTATTTCCATAGCAATTGCCGATAAAAAGAAAGGTAGAAAAAAGAAAAAGCCGAAGAAGGAACCAAAGTGTTCCGGTTCCAATTGTACAATAAATCCTGAAAACCCTAGTTGCAGCGGAGATGTTGACGGAGTTCATAAAATTTTCAGCAATCAAAAATCGAAAATCCATGATTCAATTTTAGGGATTGGTGAGTATGAGAAATTGGTTTTTCCAGATGGGAAATTTGGGCTTGGATTCAAGAGGGAATACACGAGAGATGGGATTCTGATCGGATTTGGGCATGCGGGGTTGGGTGGATCGACGGCGTATTGCGATATAAGCAACAGGTTTGCCATTTCTGTGACTCTAAACAAGTTGTCGTTTGGGTCTGTGACTAAAGACATAATTCAGTTGGTGTGCTCGGAGTTGAACATTCCGGTACCGGAGGAATATGCAGAGTGTAGCTTCACGTCCATCAATTGAAGGATAAAATAGGTACTTCACTTCATGTCCATATACAATTTATTTGAATTGCTAGTAAAATTACCTTTTAAACCATATTGATGGCTCACCAAGTAAAACTTGGGCATCGATCGATCCAAAATTTAAAATTTAGGGGTTCCAATAAAGAGATGACTAGAAGAAGTGTGCGACGTAGTTTTGAAAGAGTTTTGTTTAGTGTGATCACCAAAGGCGAGCCATTCTATCAAATCTAGCAGTATCGGGAACCACAGTAGGCTATATAAAAATTGTTGATAGTTTGTCTATTTAATTTGTGTGTCGTAGTAAAAGGATGATTCATTGGCCATGATATGTTAATTTAATTATGTTAATGTGGAATATAGAGCTTCTTCAACCAGTGTCGATGCTTGGTGGTGCTAAATATGCCCCTTGTGGCATGTGGGACTGTGGGGTACAAATTAAATTATTTTCCGAATCTTAACTAAAAACAATGTGATAGGCCTACATCAATTAAAGTTATATTATCTTTTGGCAAAGTACCCGCTAGCTGATAAATAGGGATGTCAAAAAATCCCGTAGAACAGCCGTGAAACCAATTAGTTGGTAAGGATAGCACGCATTCTTTCCTGACATATGTTAAAATTTTGGATTATTTTTATAGTTTTATATTCATATAGTGCATGCTAAATTAAATGGTGCTCCTATCTTAAATAAAAAACCTAAAATTCTAAACTACTTCCAAATAGTTAAAGGTCCACTAAATGAAGGGAGTAGCTCAAATGTGTATACAAAACTCCAATATTAATGTAGTCAACAACAATATTTCAGTAAAGCAAAGGGAAAAAAGGAAAATTGGATTTTCTTTCTCCTGCCCCCTTGCTTCAAGACAAGGCATATACAACACAAATGAGCTTGGTATTTTGGTTTTTTCTACCGGTCACTACCGCAATCACTAAAATATGTTTTTCGGTAATTAAGTTTTTGAAGACCAACTTGTGTAATAAAATGCGTAATGATTTTATGAACGATGATTTGATTTGTACTGTAGAAAAAGAAGAACTTATAGATGTTAAGATTGAACGAGTGATGAAACGTTTTTGAAAAATGAGTAAACGAAGATGTCAACTTTAAAATGTAAGATTTTTGCGTTAGTTTGTTGTATTTAATTAATCGTAATTTTAAAAAATTATCTTATTACATTTTATCAAGGAATTTTTGGTGCTACACCTTGCAAAAATTTATGGTTCCGCCACTACGTTGGACCCCGATCCCATATGAGGGATATTTGTTAAAAAAATCTGGGGGCGGGAGCAGGGGCAAAGTTAACACCCATTTTAATTTTAGGGCGGGAATGTGGGTACGCAGTCTCGTCCCGAACCTCCCATACAGGCACCGTTAATATATAT